AGGCATGGATGGCTTGTTGAACAACCGACTTGACCACATAGCAATAAGCTACAGATGGCGTGGAAGCGTAACAAAATGCCGATCGCACAGACCAACTTGTCTGGACTCCGATCATGCAATGGTTATCACAAATGTATGTATGCGTTCGGTAGAAACACTCAGGCATACTCGTTACCGGCCAGACGTCGTAAATCCTAAAAATCCTACGACGCTAGCCAAGTATCAGGCCTCTCTGCCAACACTGCTCGACTCGTTTTCTGACAATGATCTGAATTCACAATGGGTGCGCGTTAGAGACGCCTTAATTTATGGCAGTTTTAACAGTTGTAGAATTACCTGTCACCCGCCAAAAAGCTGGATTAGCACTGTCTCCTTGTCCGTGACGGACAGACGACGCTCAGTCCTGGCCGACGGCAACTGTACTGAATAACGCTGATCCCTGGATCGAGAATTGCGCAGGAAGTTACAAAAGAACCATAAAGCCTGATGCTGCGAATGTGCTAGAGAGATGAAACTGGCTAGTCTCTCTGGTAATACCAGAAGACTTCTCCACCTCACCCGAGCAGGTGCAAGCGAAAGAGGATGGCTGTCTAATCTTCAACGACGGTTGGAATGACGGGTTAAACATTTTGACCCGTAGTTTTGCTGGCCGCCAGGTCCATCTGTTTCCGCTGGGACGCGCACTGGTAGTAAGTAGTCTGTCCTTACAGATCCTCCCTCTCACCAGGAAATCTGGCAGGAACTCTGCCACATGAAGCGTCATAAAACACCCACCCGTGATGGTTTACTTCCTGCTCTACTTAAAGAAGGAGGCCATTCGCTGGTTCGGAAACTCACCGCTTTGTTCGCAAATCTGGCCACCAGTGACGTTTGATAAGCGTGCCACTGCCCATTCCTCTTCAATTTCGCCACTAAGGATGTCCTAAAAATGATTTTGAAGATTCCCTGAACGCTGGTGTTTAGCTCTTTCCAGGTAGTCGGGCAGTTGATTCAGATTACGTCGATGATATTGTCGTGTTGGGTGACGGACCATAAGCCGTCCAATTAGCATCTATCCGCCTGGCGATAGAAGATTTAAAGTATGGCACTTTTCACTAACCAAGTGTAAAGCTCTTCACGACTGGCAGATGCCGGTACCTGCACTCACCATTGGTGGTGAGACACTGCAGGCTGTGGAGAATTATGTCTACCTGGAAAGATGCATCTCTGCTGGTGGCGCTGTTGGAAACGAGATTTCGTTGCGTATTTTAAGAACTCGTCTCGCTTTCTTCAACCTAAGGCGCTTGTGGCGCCGCCTTGACATGTCTTTCCATCAAAGGGCGGGTTTATAGTGCGACTGTTTGCGATGTATTGTTGTACAGTTGCGAGAACTAGCCTGTTCGTACGGATGACCTGCGCCGACTCTGTATCTTCGAGCACCGTTACTTGCGGTCCATCGTACCTGCGTGGTGGCTGCATTACGTAACCAATGTGCAAGTTAGACAGTGTGTCTTGCTTGGAGGCTGCCACTCGCTCGAGGAGCTCGTCTCGCTGCGTAAGCTGCGGTGGCTTGGGCACGAATTGAGCATGCCCGCTAATTGTCTTCTGCGTTGGGCGTTCTTCGCGCTTGATAGACAGCGCTGGAAGAGGCATGGTGGACAGCCTAAAAATTGGAAAGGCTGACAAAGCAGTTTTCCTTGGTAAGTTCTTCTCGACCCCATGGTTGGGATTTCAGAGATCCAGAATGTCGCTGGTTAGAGACCATGGAAGTCATGGCTCAAGACCGAAATCATTGGTGATCGTGTATCTCTGCTTGTTACAGTGATGCCCTTTAAATATCTTAAAACAATTAAACTGAAAAACTGAGTGGGAAATCGGACAAAAATGTTGATTGCCTCCTTTACTTCTTATAACGATCTTGTTTTACGTTCCGCCGTAATTCCGATAGTACATTATCTGTGCACAGATTGTGAACAAAATATATGTACTGAGGTTGATGCCGCATGTAGTATGCTTATTCACCGCAGTTGTCTACAGAGATCCAAACTTCGTTCGGTTCACAGCACACTAGATCAGTTATCTTATTTGCTCAGTTTTGTTAATCACCCGCATAATTCCTGTTTTTGTTGCGCGTATTTTTATTTGCTGTTATTCGGTTAATAACCCGACTTACAAGTGCCCAAGTCACCCTTGGGTTAGAACACAATATACATTTTTGCATTTGCTCTGTTCCATTATACTGCAGCAAATATACTTTCCAGTTTGCGTGTTCGTTTTCGTTCATATTAGGCATTTATTGTGTGGCTGCGCTTGATGTGGAGGTGCAGTGGTTGTAAAAAGAAAACCGAACGCATCACATAGATATACACGATTTTGTCGAAGGGCACGATACTACGCGGTTGCACAGACAGAGGTAGAGGGTTAAGGGATACCACTCCGAGCCTTTGGCTAGATAGCCCGCGATGTAGCGGAGCGAATTCAAGGGATCGCGCCCAGTGAGAGCCGGTGCCGGACTTCTCGATTCATATGCCTTTAGTTTGGTCGGTTGGTAAACAGGGACTCAATCATCCCCACCATTTCAGCACTACCTGGCTGGAACAATGCCCTACCAGACTGAAGCAAGGGACAGTGACTTTATTTAGTGGTGAGTAACATCCGCCACGTCGCAGTGTTATTAAACGGAGACATTTAGCCTTTTATCAGAAGAATAAATCACCCACAGCTCCATTCACACACCCCATATACAGAGTAAAACTGAAGGAATAAGACCGGGAGGCATGTGGATGGGAGCCACGGTCCATCAACGGAGCTGGCCCACACTCCTTCAACATACACAGCAGCAGCATTCCTGTCTAGCTATGTCGGGAATCATGCGTACCACACGTACACATCAGTCTTTGAGCCTAGCACGGACACGAGGACCGTGCACCCCGTCTCCCGAAGCAGCGACGAAATGTCTCCCGTAGACAGTATAATCGTGGTAGCGGTTTCTCGAAAGGTAGGCACCTTGTCAACATTCACATCAAGCGCACTAACATAGGGGATATCAAACAACCAACACATTATTTGAAGGAAAATATGCACACAAAATTGACACGGAATGTGCAGTGGAATACCAACTGAGGGAATCGAGTTAAGTTGGAGATCATTGTCCAGTTTAAGTCGGTATAGTCCTAGGAGGGCCTTGTTTAGTCTGCCAGGTGTAGGATGGTGCAAAGCAGGAGGTGGACAGAAGTTGAGTTGGCAGAGGGAAATGAAGTTACTGACGACCAAACTGGGTGCCGTTGGTCCGTCTCGTCTTCCAGGCTGGAGTCCACGTGACTCGCCTTGTGCTTGGCTCGAGACTTTACAGGACATGGCTCGCAACCGACACCAGTGGCGCGTCTGCTGCCGTCTCCTAATCGGATTGTCTGTTTAAAGTGTGTTTGGTGCTGAGTTATCTGCGGGGTAATGGCTGACTATGAGGCGTGACAGTGAAAGCCGCAAGGAATCTGTCTCGCCGATGCCGCCTTATCTTTGCACGATGGCCGGCTGTTTGCGATGGTATGTTGTCTACATGAATGTTTGCTTAGGGCATTAAGGTTTTCAGGTAAGTCCCCCTTCTCTCCTTCTTATTATTCTTTATTTCATAGGTCATCGTAGTTGTATGGCAGCGAAGCATCAGTTCAAACGGCTGATGTACTGCTGTTGTTGATTGATTGATTAGTATAGTCTAACTGCAGAGAAGCATGATGTATGCGAGATCAACCTCAGCATGAGGTGACCAAGTTGAGTCCAGGGCATCCCATCGCTCGGTAGTCGCCAGATAACTCGATGTGAACGCTTGTGCCGAAAACGTGTGCTGTTGACATAAGCGTTGAGAGCAAGGCACAGCTAAAGAAAATGTCTGCCTCTTCCAGTTCGGCAACTATCGACTCCAAAGTGACCTTTGAGGCGACGTTTTGGCTCTGCCTGGTGGTCAACTTAGGCTGTTATGTCGTCTACTACGAACATGATCTTAGTGTCTTGGGAAATTCGAGTTTGAGTAAGGAGTGTAGCAGTAGTTGATCGTTCCGCTAAAGCCACACGTCGATATGGTGGTTGACCGATCGGGCCGGGATTCAAATCTGGCATGACATCTATAATTCATTAGTGTATGATGTCAAAAGCAATAGCTTTACAAGATGTACATGATGGTAAATGCATAAGAAAAGCAAAATCAAAATTTTTCGGCGTGGAACGTGAAATATCAATATCTTCAATATGTCACTTCGTCGGCCAGTAGCCGAGTGGTCTGCGCACCGGTTTTGAAACCATAAGATCACCGGTTCGAATCCGCGTAGTGGTGGGCGTCCTCGCCGTATATTCAGCCAGCGCGCGACTGGTGGTGGTCGCGCGGCAGCCAAGCGCCGTTACGGCGTACAGCTGACACATTATTATTATTATAGGATATACTCTTGTTTGGAATAGCAGCTTTCGGACTATATCCCGGACTTCGTTGTTGATTATGGGGGGAAGTTACACGACATGGTGAAAGAGTTGGGATTGGAACGCACGCCCTTACGATCCGATGTCAAGAGCCACCTTCCGGATACACATGGAGTACAGGGAAACCTAAACACAGTCAATGCAACACAACTCCGTCAATTAAAAGCGCTTATAGCATTTATGAGGTTACACCAAAGAATATGTTATCTGCCAAAATGTTTGGGCGAACAATAGTAACGGATGGCCGGAAGGAAAGATGAAGCCGCCAGCGGAATTGAGGCTCCTTTTTCCTTCCTATGATAAGCCCTTCTTGCCGAATGGTTTGAGTGTCGAATGTTAATTCCAAATCTAATGTAGCAAAATATGCTGGTAAGCATTGTCAGTAGGGAATCCCAACGCACTGCCGAACTGTGTCGGTTTGTAGAGGAGAAACAATACAAACCACCGGGACCGAATCAACTTGGAAAAATTCGGTTTAGCCCAATACATACAAAAGAGCGGAATGTATGCAACAACCAAGATATCAACGTGGTATTGTCCAATGAATAACTCACCCGATAAACAACAAACCCGATTGAAGCCAGTCTCGGAGCGCGATGACGTAGTCGCCTTCTGTCCGCTTGCATCAATGCAATGACAACGGAAGCAAGCCCTTCCGGGTCGTTTGGATCGGGGGAGTTGATGGCGAGGCGAAATTGTGGATTTGCCCAATGACTAACGCGAATGTAGGGGCGACCACCGCAAGAAACGCCCCGAAGCCACCGTCCCCGAAGATTCAACGATGGGAAAACATGTGGTGGTTGGGTATTATTGGATGGAGTAGGTGTCTGAGGAGCAGCCTCAGTGAGATGGCAAATATCAAGGTAGTCGAAGTTGCTAACAAAATCTTCTAAGGACATCCTGTGTTAAAGAAATTTTCATACATTAAAATGATGAAACCTTTGATGACACTTTGCGGCGGAAGTCCTATGAGCAAGTAAAATACCTACCAAAACTCATCTTCTGATTTCACCAGCCCAACCTTGATCCTATCCTGGGGTGGCAGACTGAGCCATTCTGATGACGATTCTGACCAAGCACCGGACCAACCGACTCGAACAGATGGCCATAAATTTCGAAGGCGCACCAGACGCACCAATCGGCTGCCTGCGGTGTCTGTCAGCCGCAATTTACGACAATCGGTCAAGCCGAAAGCTTGGCCTGGAACAAAACCGGCGGGAATGATGAATCCGGGACCAGGTGCACCTTTTGTCTGCCGAAAAAACAGCAGAAATCCTGAGTGAACACAAACGATACGATCAAATATGGTTGCCACGACGAGCGTTAACGAGTGAGAGCACCCTGATTATACTCAATAAGACATAAGCCCACATTGCAAGGCACCGCTTGTACTAAATGAGATGGATGGCCGTCGGTAGGACCATGAAGTAAAAATTGTAAACAAGCTGTAAAATGCACACCCGGTTAGATACCTGTCAATAAATGTCAATGAGAAATCGATGGCACTAATGTACGAAAAAAGAGCTGGATTTATAGGTGAAGAAATATCGTTCAATGAGCGGTAATCAGGCGCCTGCTTTTTAAACAAGATCCCTTATGACAAGCGACTTCCGAGGCAACAGGGGGAGCTGCAAAACAAATCAGTGACCACAGTAAAATGTGATAAGTGGAACGGAACAAAAGCGCGAACCAAAAAGCCGCAATAGAAATGTGAATTAGATTGGTGCTTATGACCAAAACGCTATATGCCTACAGATTTACGTATGAAGAGGAATCCAGACGGCATGCATACTCGATCTGTGTATCGTAAGCCTAGTTGGACAGGACAAAATCTCAACGAGAACTGGTCCGTTCTGCCTTTGCTAGAGCTGGAAAAGTTAGTTCTGAACATACGAGTGACAGTGAGTTCGAACGTATATCATCAATACTGGGTAAATGTTCACCCCGTGAGATTCATAGCCAGATATGGAAAAGCAGAAAAGAGAGAGAAGCTTATGAGAGATGTCCCTAAGAGAAAGGCGTTCGTGTCACCATTTAAAAGGATCAAATGATAGAAGATTCCGATATCGCTTCCACCAGACCTTAAGAAAGTGCCTTTACGCGGCTGAACTGGTGTTACTGGATCAAGTCAGAAAATTGCTCTGTAAATCCAACCTGGACAAGCCAGACCCTCATGTTAGCGTCTCTTGTGTTTACCGCTACCACTATACTCGTGGTAGCAAGCACAGGAATTGAACTGAGAGGATTATGTTCGCAAGGAAAGCAGAGTACATTCCACGAAATATGGTCGCTCATGATCCCAAACTACCAGTTAGCTCTATTACGCAGCATATCCTAGACTGCGCTATATACCAAACTCTTGGTGAATCGTTAAGTAATTAGCGGGCAGAGCAATATCCGTTACAGAGGAGAAAGAACCTTCAGCAGCCAACAAGCTGGTTTATGCTGGGGCGCATTCACCATTAAAAGAATCGGCCTGAACGGCACGCCACTCTTGTGTGTTTTCGGCAGCCCATACAGCTGAGGAGTGACCGAGCCACTGGGCTTGAAACTAGCGTAAGTAGCGTCATCTATAACGCGGTGGAGATTATCAAGGTGAAAGATAACGCGGGTCTCGAGCTCAGTCACATCTTCTATCTACTTGAGCCGTTCAAATTTGCGTCGATGATTATTATGCCTACGAGATCAAAACGTCACTTATAATTAAAAATGTGTGCTCACAAGCCGCATCTTCAAGCGCTAAAGGCGTGGTTGTAATGAAAACGGATAAAAATGCGGGAGTATTAATAATAAACAAGCCCGATTACATGAAGAATATGAGTATAATACTCGACAACGCAAGCAAAATCGAACGGATGAAGGTAGAAGATGTGGCTGCGGTCGAGACCCGCGTTATCTTTCATCTTTATAAGCTTCTCTTCCGCGTTCTAGATGGCGGTACTTATGCTAGTTTCAAGCCCAGTCGCTCAGTCACTCCTCAGCTGTATGGGCTGCCGAAAACACACAAGGGTGGAGTGCCGTTCCGGCTGATGCTTTTAATGGTGAATGCGCCCCAGCATAAACTAGCTTGTACCTTCTACACTGAGACAGTCGGTCAACCGGTACATTATAAAAGACTCAATATCTGTTTAGCAAAGTTTCAGCTATTTGACAGGCTGAATTTACGGCCCGCCTCGCCTCACCTTGGTGAGGTTACCCAACGTTTTTCTTTGAGATGGATGTCATTGCCCATTGCCTCCACTTGTATACAAGGCGATAATTTGACATAATGTATGCAAACAAATGACGACAATACTCGAAATACCTGAATTCAGCCTATCATGTTAAAATGTTTTCTTCCTATTTTGAAATTGCCCTCTACATTTTGCATCAAAAAGTAAGAGAGTGGACTAGTCCATATACATATACAAAGCGAGAAATTACGACAAATCAGTTACGCGCCAGTTCACTTCGTTAGATATTCGATAAAGCTGGTGCGCAGTGTGCGTGGGCACACATGCACCATTATTCATATTGGAAAAGAGAGTTTAGACGTTGTGGATAAAAGTTCCACACTCCGTACAATGACTATGCAATAGGGTTAAAAGCGATTTGCTTCAGTAAATTACCGCACAGATAAGCAACACACGTAAAGCTACCGGAATGTCAGCAATTAGAACCTAACCAGACCAAGACATCAGCTGTACGCCAGGCAAACCGTACTGACGCTTCGATGCCACCCAATCACCACCGGTCTCATGTAGGTTAGGTACACCGCGAGGTCGCCCGCGTTTATTGGATCATCCATTGGTAAGCGACGCTTGACAAACCAGTTACCTTAGTCAACTGTTCTTAACGCACTAAGCAGTAGAATATAACGCTAATTTGCGGTTGTCTGGCGAAAGGAAAATCGAAATCACTTCAGTGTTCCACTAGGAAGACCACTAATGAGTTAGAGGTCAGTTCACTGGCGAGATTTTCTCCGGTCGCACTTGAACTATGAATCTTGTGAATAGCGATCGCTGTTTTTGGAGACAAGGAAATAAGCGCTGGGATGACTTCGAGTGAATCGGCAGGTGACCGAGTGCTCCGCACGCCTGGCTAGCCATAATAAGGTCATCGGTTCGAATCCGCGTAGGGGTGGGCGTCCTTGCGGCTACTCAGCCCACGCGCAGCTGGTGGTGGTTGCGCGGCAGCGAAACACAGCTACGGCGTATAGCTGACGATTCACTGATTCAACTTCTAGTCCGTCAACAAAAGATTTACAACTGCTGGTTGCACTCAGCTAACGTATGTAGATGAAGGTACTTTCAGTGGATAACCGTTGCAAATCGCTCTGGAGACCGACAATCTGCTTGAATAACGAGGCTCATTAGCAAAAGGAACGACTGCAACAGTGTGCCAGTAGTGCTCATCAGCAGAACAGAGTAAAGTTTGAATATGATTTCGTACCCACACGCCAATTAGAGTCACTGACCTGGTACCACAGAAAGCGATTAGGTTGATCCGCTTCGCCATAATGATGGCCCCAACTTTCCATCACGATGAGACTGGACCTTAACGTGGTATCTAAGGTGGTATCTATATACCTCAGTGAACAATGGTTACGCCTCGGAAGAGAATGGGCAGAGATCACGAGACGCAAATCGAAATTGCCACTTTCAAAAGTCACCTGCCCGTCAATCACGAAGTGACAATTCAATAAGCAGGATTGTACACTACATATCACCGCAGTGAAGATGCCACTTCGCATGGTGGTGAGATGTATGCAATCAAGTTATGAAGCTCGGAGAAGCGATCAACAGGTGAGAATGGTAAATGGTTAGAGGCCAGACAAACGCAGTCTCCCGCTCCTGCTGGTTGGGGGTTGGAATGAGGATGGCTCCTTATTCCTTAAAAAGAACTCCCCTGCCAAACCCGCTGCCTTGCGGTAAGGTTTTTGAACCAAAGGCTTTGCTTGAGAACCCTAATCGTTCTCCTGTCTGTGCCGGGGAGTATGCCTGAGAGTATCCTGTCCACGCGATACACCATGACTTTCCTTCCAACAACCTCTTGATGCAATGGCCTTCGCAGAGGATAACCAAGGCTGCCCTATCTGCTGCATCAAGCAGGCTGGGTAGGGGTTTAAATGCTACAGCTCAGGCCTTCCCGCCTTCTTATTCCCCCTCCTGCGCTTTTTCTTCCTTAGCGTTCCACACCAACTTCACTTTTATCCCCCGTTTTCAATCCCCAATTCCTGATCTTCCCCACCTTGCTCCACTAGTCGCTTGTCTTATAGCTTCAAATCATACACAATCGCATGGCGTCGCACCAATCCAGTCGACAAGTCCATGTTCAACCAAGCGGATAATATCGATTCATCCGTTTCTCTTTGGAGTCGGTGATCCTCAACGTGCGCACTTTGCTGCAGCACTTGCCCGAACACTGTAGACCCTATCGACCGAGTTAGAAGGGAGGCCAAACGATAACCTGGTCGAGAGAAATGAAACCCTTACTTCGAAGTTGGCGTCGGTTGGTGCATCCCGACTGCCTGGCTGGGGTACTAAGGACGACGAACACGTTTAGTTGGATACACTTGCTGATATGGAGAAGAGTCGACCCCAGTGGCGCTTGTGTTGTGAATTTCTTTGTCCATCCCCCTCCCTTTTAGACTCCCCCTCCAATTCCGATGTCATACAAATTACATAACACAACATTATATCACCTGCTTTTGAATTAGTAGCAGTGTAATTGTTTTGTATCTTAACTTTTTGTATTGCGGCACATTAGCTGAGGTGTGTTTCTCACCCCCAGCTAACACGTATTGATAATGATGATGATTCTAGTGTGGATAGAGCGATAAGTTATGTCGGGCAAACTCCTTTTGGAACTATAATACGGCTGAACCTTTAGTGTCTTATATCACACAGTGCACGAAGTGGTGGCGATGACGTTGTAATCGCCCTACTGTAGTTTACGTTGTAGGGGCAACAACCCGGAATAATGGTATTTTTTAACCGAGATTCCCACCTTCCAAAATGCGTGTGGTCAACTGGTCGGAGAAATTAGAAGGAACAACCCCACTGCTATGAGGTAAGTCAGTTCGATGGCTGATGAAAAAGTTGAAACAATCAGAAGTGAGGTCACTTCTGCTTTCACAAAAGACGATGTGAGTTGCATCCACTTCAAGGAATGTGAATTCAACGGACGAACAAGTGAGCTCAAATTCGGGTGCTTGGCTGAGGCAAAAGGAGTGCGTGTAATGCGATGGTGGAGCATCGCCAAAGCAAACTA